AGGAAGAGGCGCGTATGAGGAGAGAAGCGATGCCAATTCCTCCTCAAATGGGAATTGAAATCATTTACAAAACGATTAGAAATGTACATGTACAAGCACATGCAAATACTTGCCAAATATTACAGTATTTTCCAAGGCTGCACCCAAAACGAATTGCACTCAAGAGTGGAGCCTTTCAAATATGAAATTATTTTATTGTAGGCATCTGGCAATAAGACAAAGGTTAAATCAATCAACCGTTCAGTTGAAAACACAATTTAACAAGTAAGAAAGATCTACGTTCGGCTGTGACCGAACATTTTATACTCTCGCAACTTGCAAGGATGAAATCCTGGAAAACACCTCTAGATGATAGCAAAACTTTATATTAAACTAGGGAAAGCATCGCTGTGGTTTCACCCATTTGAGGCAGGAGGATACACTGTTATTAGAAAAAGATTATTTCTGAATTTCATCAAGATTTCTTACATATTAACCGATAAATATCTTGAATTACCAGATGAAATTTAAAAGTGTGTTATATCAGAAGTAGATGTAGTAGTATATCATCGCCTATTTTCACAATGGCTAATAGGAATGTTTGAGTTAAGTCACACACCAAATTTGCTTGAAATCGATCAAGTAGTTTCTAAGATATAGGATTTCACCTAAATGTGGGTGGTGCCACGCCTATTGTCCAATTTTTCTAACTACCCCTCCTTAGAAAATATGTAAATTAAACCATTTCGTGAGCGAGAGTACCCCCGATCTCCTATGCTAAATTACCGTTTTATATCTTAATGTCATGCCAAGGAATGAGTGTACCATGTTTCATCAAGACATCTCAATTTTTACTCAAGTTATTGTTGGCACAGACAGACGGACAAACAGACGTACATACGGTCAGACATACAGTCACTCGAAATTCAACTCGTCTCGTCATCCTGATCATTTATATATATATACACATATAACTCGATATCTACACAACATAACAACCGTTATGTGAACAAAACTATAATACTCTGTGGCAACATGTTGCAGCAGTATAAAAATATATTATTTAAAAAATTGTCAGTCTATTAAGTAAATGAACATACAATATTTACTGTTATCTAATTACAGGGTATATTAAGTTAGCCACAAAGTTGGAAACAGCCAGGTCTATATATACGCGAGTTAGTTTCTCAGTCTTTGAGATGTCGATCCGAACTTTTGCCAACATTTTTTCCGCAAGAAGCTGCACATTTGTGGGAACTGCCCATAACGGACCACTATATTGTAGTATATATATGCGATACAAACTAACCGATTCAAATGAAGTCCTTGTATGGAAAATTATTTCACTTGACAAGATATCCTCACGAAATTTGGCATGGATTATTGCCCCAAGAAACTTCTACAATCTCCGAACATATTTTTCAGATCGGACCATTATGACATTAAGCTGCCATACAAACTGGGTAATTAAAATCAAGTCCTTGTTTTTTTATTCGTGAAAGGTACTATAGTTTCGGTTCAACCGTAGTTAACGTTTTTTTCTAGTTAAAGCTAAATAAATGCCAATTTACTCATTACTTCAATAAATTTGCAATATTTTTCTTTTTGCAGAAAATGTTTTCAGCTCCATAGATAAGAAATGGAATTTCAAGAATCCGCACATACCCGATTTGGAATGCAGATGCCCATACGTATGTAAGAATGGAGGATGAACGTGCTACCAGCTCTGCGTTTAGTCGTAAACTGGCCCCATGCACAATAATGGGTTTGACAAACGCTCGTAATTGTCAAATGGCAAATTTTAAGCCATAAATTTTCAAATTCAATACAAAACAAAAACAAGTTCTGAACACACATGTTAGAGTGTGCCTTTGTGCGTGTACACCACCCGCACTCTGTAGCAAAACGCACAGCAGCATTACCTCCTGAAATTCAAAACAGCGTCAATTTGGGGTCATTGCAAGCGTATGTATGTGTGTATGTATGTGTGTGCGGATAGCCCATGCCACTGCCGAAATGCCCGCTCACGCATAGCACACAAGCGCACATAACAGCGCAAGTATTTGGAAATTTCCCACAATATATCATGTGTTGGCCAATTATCTATGAGAGTTATACGCACTCTCGGCCAGAAAATTTGTTACATAACATGAAATAATTGGTTGTGGTGCATGGTAACCCACTCAAAAACTAGGAGACAAAGCTTCTTTCATATCTACCGTCAATACTTGTGTAACTATAGAAATGGCTAATTCGAGATGGGATTTTTTTTTTGTTCTTTTCTCATCAATGAAAAGACGACATGAGTGGAACGAGATTGTTAAGTGATTTATGGCTGTAGCTCTGGTCAAAACAAACGTTAATTGTTTGCCATTGACGAAAATAAATCGATAAAATATAGCGAGATGACAAGTCGGAGTTCAGGTGCTCATACAATTATTTATTATCAACAAACGGTATTATAAGTACATCTGTGCATAGTATTTGACTTTAGCAGATTTCCATTTAATACATATATATGTGGGTTCAGAGACAAATTTAACAATTTTCATCAATTGACAAGATCGGAAATTTGGAATAGGTATTGCAGCAATATACATACTTATGTATAATATATTGGGTCAAGAACTGTCAGCAGAGCGGTGCTATCTTTTTCAACTGAACGGAGATATTGTTGGTTAGTTAACCGAATTGAAGAAGCTTCAGAACTTTGCAAACCTTATCAAACCCTGCCGGAACACGAAATATAAAGCCAATGTGCGCAAGGTTATTTAACAGTTTATTCTGTACCCTCCGCTGGATAAGATTAGGAATTACAAATCCAGACAAGCCTGGCAATCTATTTGACGCATTTGACGGAATAAGGTTGCTGGTTTTAAAACACCTTGTCTTGGAGCATCTAACTATAGCTGTCTTCGACTCACCAAGTGTTGGAGGGAGAGAAGCGAATCGAACAAGCTGCTATGGATGTGCAAATTGGAAACCCTTGCAGTGCAACCCTGTGCTAACATGTCTTCTGATGCATGCGCAATTGTGTTCCCGATTCTTTATTTGGTGGAGAAATTTTACTTTCGGTATTAAATAACGTGTTAGCAAGTCTTTCGTTTCGTTCTCTATAAACAATTACAATTTTTTAAGTCTTAAGTTTTTTTAAATAACAATAAAAATTTTTGTATTTTCAGTAAAGATAGCGGTTATACCACTTTAATGAGTTATCCGCATACTCTCTTCTACGAGTTCAACTCGATAACATTGGTACTTGAACGTGTAATTTTTGACAAGGGAGCAGCGCGCAAAGTTAACGAGCAGAAAAATAGCGAATCGAACACAACTTATCTTATCGAGAGTCTAAACTAGACACGGTCAGCCTTATTATGCTTCTAGAAGCTATGAAAATTCTTCGCTCTAAGACTGAAGGAAAATTAACAAGTTTCGAAACTAAGAAAATAAAAAAAAACCTTTTCCGTATTTTGGTGTCCTTTCCACTTTGAGTCGAGTCTATAGTCCAACTCTAAGTAAGAAGTACTTCCAGTAGCTCTTTTAACGTCGAGTGGTTATTTCTTTTGCAAATGGTGATGCCAATGTTCGAAAAACTCATTAATAGGTAGTGCTGCCAACAGTTCCTTGGAACTCAGTAGAGGTTAGTATTGCAAATAGAAATTGGACCATTGCCAGGGCCACAATCGCCAAATATCATATCGAAAGCGTCTTGCAGAGAATCACACATAGGGAGAGGCATTTGAACGAAAAAATATTTGAAAGTAGGGTATTGTAACCCGCGGTCTATAGGTTTAATGTACATATGTATGTATGTATATTAGAAGCTGATAATGCTGTATCAACGAAACCTAGTGAAAACATTTTCTAGCATTACTTGAACAGTGTGAATATTGGTGAAATCGGACCTTATATCTTAACTACATAGCCAGTTTGAACCAAGTATGTACATACGGACATATTTATTATCCTGCTATTCTTTTGCCCGTTCGTCTGTTTTTGAGATATCGATTTGAAATATTTCAGAGATCCTTTTCTGCCCAAGAAGCCGTTCAATTGTTGTTGTTGTTGTTGTAGCGACAGAATTCTGCCGAGTGGACAGACCTTGGCCGGAATAAATCCGGGTCCGTTCCGGTTACGTAGACCCGACTGTCGTGGAAACGGCCGTTCAATTGTCGGAACCGCCGATATTGGACTACTATAGCATACAGCTGCCATACGTACAAAAAAACCCTGTTGGTAACATACACCGCTATCTTTACCAAAATTGAAAGCGGGGATTAGATTACCGTTACAAAATAGCTACCTACACGCTGAGCGATCAAAATCAAGTTCTTGTATGGAAAAGGGGATGGTCACGGAATTCGGTGACGAGATTCCGAATTTCCGCAAAATTGTTCAGATCGGACTATAGCATTTAGCAGCCATACAAACATACCGATCAAAATTAAACTTCGGTGCAGCCGAAGTTAACGACTTTTCTTGTTTATAATGAAGTTTTGCTGGTACGTGGAATAACTTCTTCGCCATAAATTCTACGAAATGCAATACAGTACAAAATGTTCGGCTGCATCCGAACTTAACCATTCCTTACTCGTCTCGGAATTCATTTGACAGAAAAATGCAATGACTTATATAAGAGAGGAACGCGTTGTTTAAAATTACCTAGAAAGTTCGACAGTTCGTTTCGTTTAGGCCTGCCAGTTCAGTTAACAGGTGACTTTTGTAAACAAAGCCAGTTCGCAGAGTTGATTTTTAAGGGCCTCCAATCTACCAAGTTTTGAAATGTTAAATCAATGTTTTAGAAAAATATCTTGCCGAATAATTTTCCAAAATCTTAGTCGTTAGACCTTAGCTCACTAAACTGCAGTGTGCTGAATTTTACAAATGTAATCATAATTAAATATTCTCTCCTGAATATATTAGTTAAATAATAAGTAAATCTCTACCCCATTGAACAACAATAATCGTCTGCAGTAAGGTCTTTTGTTAGTTAGATGGGATAATGTTACGTTCCCACTTACCTTAGCTTCATTTAACACTTTCTCTAAATCACCAATTAAAAAATTTAGGCGGGAACTTAAAACAAGGAATTGAATGATGATTGAAGAATCGTGGAGAGTTTTTGTATACCGAAGGTAGAGATTTGCAAAACAATTAAACTGGTGTTAGAACTTAGAATGTATGTCATATTTGTTTAATGATGAGTTTATGTTGTAGTCGTGTTAATTAAAAATTATCAGAAATTTTTCTTTCGGCATTAAATAACGTGTTAGCAAGTCTTTCGTTTTGTTCTCTTAACAAAATTAAAATTTTTTTAAGTCTTAAGTTTTTTTAAATAACAATAAAAATTTTTGTATTTCATTTTATAGAATGATTTGTCAAGCCAAACTGAGTTGACAGCAGTAAAGATAGCGATTATACCACTTTAATGAGTTATCCGCATAATCTCTAGAACGAGTTCAACTCGATAACATTGTTGCTTGAACGTGTAATTTTTTGACAAGGGAGCAGCGCGCAAAGTTAACGAGCAGAAAAATGGCGAATCGAAGACAACTTATCTTATCGAGATTCTAAACTAGACACGGTCAGCCTTATTATGCTTCTAGAAGCTATGAAAATTCTTCGCTCTAAGACTGAAAAAAAATTAACAAGTTTCGAAACTAAGAAAAAAAAAAATGGTTTTCCGTATTTTGGTGTCCTTTCCACTTTGAGTCGAGTCTATAGTCCAACTCTAAGTACAAAGAACTTCCAGTAGCTCTTTTAACGTCGAGCGTTCATTTCTTTTGCAAATGGTGATGCCAATGTTCGAAAAGCTCATTAATAAGTAGTGCTGCCAACAGTTCCTTGGAACTCAGTAGAGGTTAGTATTGCAGATGGAAATGGGACCATTGCCAGGGCCACAATCGCCAAATATCATATCGAAAGCTTCTTACAAAGAATCACACATAGGGAGGGGCATTTGAAGGAAAAAATATTTGAAAGTAGGGTATTGTAACCCGCGGTCTATAGGTTTAATGTACATTTGTATGTATGTATATTAGAAGCTGATAATGCTGTATCAACGAAACCTAGTGAAAACATTTTCTAGCATTCCTTGAACAGTGTGAATGTTGGTGAAATCGGACCTTATATCTTAACAACTACATGGCCAGTTTGAGCCAAGTATGTACATACGGACATATTTATTATCCTGCTATTCTTTTGCCCGTTCGTCTCAGTTTTTGAGATATCGATTTGAAATATTTCAGAGATCCTTTTCTGCCCAAGAAGCCGTTCAATTGTCGGAACCGCCGATATCGGACTACTATAGCATACAGCTGCCATACGTACAAAAAACCCCTGTTGGTAACATATACCTCTTTCTTTACCAAAATTGAAAGCAACGATTCATTCTCTTTTTGTACCTATCTAAAAGAAATCGATCATTTTTGAAATCTAACTCGCCAGTAAGAGTATTAGTAAGAAATATTTCGCACATTTTTATGTCTGAAAATGTCTCAAATACGCAGTTTTTAGCAGTTTTATACAAAGGCATCAGCAGTGCAAACTGCGCTGACTACGAACAATTACAGGATGCCTCTTGATGTCTCCTGTTGAACATTTACATAGCTAGACCCGCATGCTCCCGGTCAAGGAACATAACGAACTCCTCTCTAGGCAGTTTCTGCTGGGATGTTTCCACGGAAACCACTGTCGTCTGCTTGAAGCGGAGCCCCCTCCTAGAAACTTCAAGAGGCCTTTCATAGATTACGTCGATAAGCACTGACTGCCATTCACAGTGGAGCCATCAACACCTTCACCGACTCCCTCTCAGTGAATGGCGACAAACCACCAACTTTGCAGACACCCCTACATACCAAATATACGTCCAGCATGCAATTAGTTTCCACTGACACTAACCATCTCTTTGCATGCCCCACGAACGCCACTCATCTAACACCTTTCTTCCTATAGTCCGAACCCGTCGAAACAGCTCGTTTCCTGGGCCTCCCTTTAGATGACTTCGACGACAACCAAACTGAACCTTACTACCCAAGCGATTAGATTACCGTTACAACATAGCTACCTACAAAATCAAGTTCTTGTATGGAAAAAGGGATGGTCACGGAATTCGGTAAAGAGATTCCGAATTTCCGCAAAATTGTTCAGATCGGACTATAGCATTTAGCTGCCATACAAACAGAGCGATCAAAATTAAGCTTCGGTGCAGCCGAAGTTACCGTCTTTTTTTGTTTATAAAAAAGTTTTGCTGGTACTTGGAGTTACTTCTTCGCCATAAATTCTACGAAATGCAACAGTACAAAATGTTCGGCTGCATCCGAACTTAGCCATTCCTTACTCGTCTCGGAATTCATTTGACAGAAAAATGCAATGACTTATATAAGAGGAACGCATTGTTTACAATTGCCTAGAAAGTTCGACAGTTCGTTTCGTTTAGGCCTGCCAGTTCAGTTAACAGGTGACTTTTGTAAACAAAGCCAGTTCGCAGAGTGGATTTTAAGGGCCTCCAATCTACCAAGTTTTAAGATGTTAAATCAGATGTTTCAGAAAAATATCTTGCCGAATAATTTTACAAAATCTTAGTCATTAGACCTTAGCTCACTAAGCTGTAGTGTGCTGAATTTCACAAATGTAATCATAATTAAATATTCTCTCCTGAATATATTAGTTAAATAATAAGTAAATCTCTACCCCATTGAACAACAATAATCGTCTGCAGTAAGGTCTTTTGTTAGTTAGATGGGATAATGTTACGTTCCCACTTACCTTAGCTTCATTTAACACTTTCTCTATACCAGCAATTAAAAAATTTAGGCGCGAACTTAAAACAAGGAATTGAATGATGATTGAAGAACCGTGGAGTTTTTGTATACCGAAGTTACGAGATTTTCAAAACAATTAAACTGGTGTTAGAACTTAGAATGTATGTCATATTTGTTTAATGGTGAGTTTATGTTGTAGTCGTGTTAATTAAAAATTAAATAAACAGCACTTGCGCGCGTAATTCTAATGTTACAAATAACGCAGCATTATTTTTATTTGTTTTTGTTTTTTGTAAAAATTCAGCCCTTTGTATTTGAATTTTTTACGGATGTTTATTTCTTTGACTTAATTTTCTTAAGATAGAATTCCAATTCTTTGCCCTCTAGGATATAACCATCAGAACGACCACATTGACCTGGACGGGATGAAACGCAGGCTGCAAAACAAAAAACAACACACATTAGTACATGTAAACAAATAGAAACATTATTGCTTTGAATGGGGAATAGAATCAGAGTAACTATGACAAGCTAAATCACGCCCAACAGGCTTGCATCGCGCTTAGAACAAGTTTGATACAATAATGTTGTTGGATCGCTTAAGAAATTTACATCATCTGGTATACACCATTCTTTAGTACGTATATATAATGAATAACTCACCAAGGATACGTCCAGAAATGAACTGATCTTCAAGAGCGGGTTCTACTTTAGCGAACTTTTGACGTTCCAAGTATTTCTTCATTACTTTTTCGCTGCGCTTTTTGTTCAGCACGTCATTCTCATCTTCAGTTTTTTGATGTTTGGGATTTCGTTTGCGTCCCAAAGGCAACACATAGTGCGATTCATACCATTGGCGGAATGGTGTAGCGTCAATGACAACAATGGTGTTCTTTACCAAAGTTTTGGTACGCACCAACTCATTGTTTGATGCATTATAGACTACATCGGCAATACGAGTACGACGGGCAACACCCTCAGAAGCCCACGCAAAGTTACCGGTTTCCAAGCGCAAAGCACGGAATTTAGTGTTGCCACCGCGTGTGCGTACTTTGTGGATGCGTGGTGCACCGAGCTAAAAAAAACAAAAACAAATGAAGATGTATTTTAATTAATGTTGAACAATTTTATAATATTCAGGTTTCGTCCTACGCTAATCAGTAGTCCGAACATAATAATGCATTCATCAAAAATTGTAAAGCTCCATAGGAACTATACGCGCTTACAGTAAACATATTTGATCATCATGTGAAAAATTTAGGCATTGTAGTTTGTGGAAATCACAATTCTTTACATATTAAACGAAGGCACCTTCACAAAATGCAAAACTCCTAAGTCCTAAACCTTTAGCAGGTTTACATACCTTGGTGTTTGCAGCTGGACGACCCAACTCGAACTTGCGCTTCTTACGGAGCGACTTGCGTTTGCCACCAGTGGCGCGGCGCTTGTGAGCACTATCGCGGCTAATACCTAGAAAATAAAGATTACCATCAGTGATTTCACATTCAAACTACACAAAATCAAAAGCTATTTTCAAGAAAATCCTCCTACAATCACTTTAGCGCTGCAACCACTATCAGCTTCACTCAGGTCAACATTTCGATACAATAATTTTTTCACATTACTCAATTTCCAATCTTGAAAATAATTGTACTATATAAATCTTTATAATCATACAGTTAAAATAAACACAATTTGCTGCAGTTTTCACATTTTAATACAATGATGTTTAAGGATTTTCTTGAAAATTTTAGTTGATCGCATAAAAGCCGCACTCACCCATTTTGAGTAGAAACAGAGAAGGAAAGGAAGCAAAGAAGAAACCCAACAACTCGTGTCAAAAGTTCAGTGATGCATCGTTTGACAGCACATTGTAATAGCACACGGAATGAAATTTGACATATAGCCGTAATAGAAGACAGACATTACATATAGCTTACACTTTTAAACTATATTTTAAACATATATGGTAACAAATGAGAAACACAATAAGATAAAAAAGTTTAAATTCTGCTTAATGAAAAAAAATATGTGACTTATTATGTCTCAATATGGGACGAGAAAGAAGAATATTGTATATCATAGAATATATACGCTCAAGTTTATTTCCATAGGAGAGAATTTTTTGCAAATTTGACTATAATAGTTACTTACCGTTAGTGGTAGTAATAGTAGTATCATTTTTCTAATAAAATTTTGAATATAAAACGTCCACAATGACTAAAAGTTATGCTAACAATATTTGTAGTAGATTTATTGAACATTTTACGAAATTCATATATTTCTACGAGACTAATTTGGTTAGCACATATTGAATTCTATTGGAGGAAGTGCTAAACTCTACACATAACAGTCGAGTCTACAGAATAGGAACAGGAGCAAACTGCAAATTCTGCAATATTCTTGAAGCATATTTTATGTTACTGAAAATATTTTATATGTTGTGTACGAATAAAATGAAAAGAAGTAGGATTTAAATTTTAGGTGAGCTTACATTCTACAATTAATGTTGGGTTTTATTTAAATAAATTCCTGGTTTTTTTAAAACGATATTATTCTCCTCAATACAACACTGAGAATTCTACATCTTTCGGACAATGCAAGAAAGAGATAAACATAGAGACCAACGAAATTTCGTAGAAACTGATGGTAAAAAACGATGAAAAGCAAGAGTTTTTGGAATTTGTAAAAACAGCAGCTGTGAGTGAATAATTTTACGTCTTTAGAGCAAAAATAAAATATAAATTGCGAAATAATATAGACAAAGGTAATTGAGTTTGGAAATTGAAATTAAGAATCATTACACAGAAAAGCGCTACTGAAGATAGATATATATATTTTTTGCAATGTACAGGTTTGTTAATTTCGCAATATAAAAATTGTGCCCGTCAAAAACAAAATGAGAGGTCACCACAGCCTCAGTTGAATCAGCAAACATTTAATTATAAAAGAAAAGAAATGTGAAGAACCTATGTATTGATTATTCAATGCGAAATTCGAGCTTTGAAGAGGATATTGACGAACTGATGCGAACGTAGGTACTGATAATCGTACGAAAGCACTAAAAATGGCAGTACGAGGGCAATTTGTTTTCGTAATATTATTGGAACTGCTTATTAAACAAAATTTTGCGAAAAGATACAAAAAATGGCAACCAATCAATTGTGTTTAAAAAGCGAACAGTCAAAGGAATATACCAAAATTAATGATGAAGATGAAAAAAGGCGTTTGAATTATATCCTCGAAATGCATGTACACTCTCAGTTGGCTCTTCAAATGCACGGCCGCAGTAGCGATTGTTGCATATAATACAACGTATAAAGTAAATGTCTGCATAAAAACCTTTATAAACATCATCGTTATGGAGCATATATCTCTACTCGATATATAGCATACATACATTTTTAAGTGTTTTTTTTGGATATTCGAAATTTTTTACTTGTCAAAATTTCAGATCTTCAATATAATTATTTTATTGCATTTATTAAATATTTAATGATATTTCATATATTTTGTTAATTGCATAAATATTTATCTTATTCTGCAGAAAGGACATAAACATAATAGTGTTTTGGATCGAAATAACTGATAAAATTTGATAAGTACAATTAAAAGATATAAAATTGTGGCGTCGAAAAGAAGCTTCAAATATGGAGCAATGTTTCAGTTCTGGAGGCTCGAATGCTTCCGGAGATAGTGTCGGTGGTTTTGGGCAGAATACTACGCTTACTAATGCAAGTGCTAGCGATATTATTTATAACAAGAATGTCACCCAAAATAGTGGTGGCAACGGCAACGGACTAACACCTGAAGTGAAGGAGATCTATAGGTAAGAGATATTCATTTAGCAGTGTGTTGATTACCCTATAACAATAGAAACAAGAATTACATAAAACAAAAATGTTGATGCGTTTTTGATATTATCGTTGGATATTTCCCTGCATTGTCTTCAAAAATGCATTTTGTGTAATAATTTATAATTATCGTACATTTTAAAGTGTGTGCATATGTATGCATGTATGTAATCATATATACGTGGATTAGTGCCATATTATGCTTATCAGCTTGGTTTGTTTTTCAGTTTAACAGAACCAACGCTATTTCACTTAATGAATTTCATTATTTGCACTTATTCGTAAGACTTGGTGTTTTTCCGCTTCTCACTAACAGAATACGCCCGTACGTTATGCACATATATGATGTTAATATGAGGAGTTTTTTATTGGAATGCGTGTTGTGTTAACTTTATAATATTTTTTTTTCATAGATCTCTCTACATTGTTGCCAAACAACTGGACGATGAGAAGAAACACATTAGCACCATTTCCCAATTGTTTCAACATGATTTGGAGGAGAAACGTTCTCAGCTGGTTCAGCTTTGTAAAAAGATTGTTTTCAAGGACTACCAATCAGTGGGTAAGAAAGCTCGTGAAATCATGTGGCGCAAAGGATATTATGAGTTTATCGCTTACGTGAAGAAAAACTGGCACAAAGAGTTAAAAGACACCACCCAGATGAGCACGCAAGACAATCTATTAAAGGTAGAGCGTTTTCTCTGCGCTGGAATATCAAATTACAAACGAATGGCAGCTCAAATGGAAGAGATATATGATCTTGACTTGAAATACTTAATTGATTTTAGTATTATTAGTGACGGCTATATGAGCGATATCGATCATAAACAAACAAGCGAGAACAATGGCGGAGGCGATGTTAGTGCTGCACATCCAGTGGATAAAAGTTTAGAAGCAGTTTCATTTGCTTTAGATACTATACATTCATCACTGTTGAGCTTAGGAGACTTGCACCGTTACTTTTTAGACTTTCGCATTGATACACGTCTAAAGATTACAAAACAACAAGCTGCCAAATATTACTTTGAAGCGTTTAAATTGAATCCGGCAATTGGTATGTCGCAAAATCAATTGGGTACACTTTACTACGGCCAAAATCACGATTTAGACTCCATCTATCATTACTTATACTCCTTGGTTAGCATTGTACCATTTGAATTAAGCGAAAATAATGTGTGTAAACTGTTTGTGTCTCATGCGGATTACCTGGAAAAGTTGGACCCAGAGAAAATAGAATTCAGTCTGCAAGACTTCTACGCCCGCTTTTATTTGATTGTGGACATATTCTTCTTCGATAAAGAAGTGCCCGATTTCAACTCTCTTTGCCACTGTGTGCTTGTAGACTTGCGCAAAGTACTCTGCTCTAAGGCATTCACCATTGAAGAGAGTTGCATTTTCAAGATTGTCTCAATACTGTTTTTCTGCTTATCTAAGCTAAAGATGATAAACTCCCAGAAGGTTTACTCGCTAAATGCTTTTCTGGTAGCCGTGTGCTCCGATCTAATGGATGCATGCATTGTAAATCTTGAGCAAACCATTTTGACCAAATCTGCGGAGAATGAAGAATTCCACGAAGTGTATGCAGATAAGTTTGAGGAGTTCAATATGGTGGTGCGCAAGTCACGCAACGAATATAAAAATTGGCTTGTTACTATCGGTGAGGCCGACAAGAAAGAGAAGAAACTTAATGCTAAATTATCGTTGAAAGAATGCTCGTCTGATTCGCGCGACAGTCAAAATTCGAATGACGAATATGTCATCAAAACGCAGGACAGTCATAAGCACACCAAAATTGATGTTGGTGGTGAAAAGAATGCCGATCCCATATCTACGCGTTCGAGCGATGAAGCTAAAGAGAGCGATCTTAAAACACCGTTATCCTGCAAGAGCAAGAAGAAAGGCATGAAACTACGTCGGCGTAGACGCAAAATCGCTCAATCGGATGATAGCTCGTGTTATGACACCGAAAGCGATATGGATACCGACTTCAGCACATACGATGAGGACTACACCGATTTAAGCTCAAATTTTGATACCGATTTCAGCGACATCGAAGCTGAGCCGGTGGCCGATGAACGTGAGGAGGCTGATGAAGCAGGTATGTTGAAAACATTATGCCAGAATAATACTATAAATAAATTAAATGCATATTGATATAATTAACAAAATTACAATGTGGAACTTTTTGCTAGATTTTGTCAAGCAGCCAACAAAACCAGTAGCCTTGGAGCAAAAAGCGCCGCGTTTAACTTCGGCAGCTTCCAAGGAAAGCCTGACTTCCAACGAAGGCGTAGGTCCGACATTCTCCGACAATGAAGACATTGTCATTGAAGAGGAGAAAATTATTTATCCCGATGAACAACAGGCAACGTTGGCAAAACAACGCACTGATTCGCAGGAGGTTGATAGTGAGGAGTTGCTGCGCAGTTTCGAGGTATTGCAGATGAATGGTAGTGGCTCGCTCAACTTTAAGAATACCGACAATGAGGAATCACTACCGGCAGTCATCGAAAATAATGCGAAGAACCACATTGTCGACGATGTGAATTTCAATCCTGGCGAGCCACCAAAAAAACTCGTTTATCGCAACAAGTATACAAAGATTAATCCGAATATAATAGTTGAGTTTGCGCGCCACGAGCCAACCATGCGTGCTTTGAAAATTCTTTACGATTGGTTGCGCATCAATCATGAAATACTCTTTGGCTGCTATCACTCCAATCCGGAATTCATACACAAGATTATGAAGTTGTTGAATTACTGCAACATCGACATATTTACACGTAAAGTATATTTCGAACGTGAATTCCTAACCACGCCCAATGTGCGCACTCCACTCGGTGATTTATTTGATGTGCGCGCCAATGTGCCGTTGGCAGAGGATTTCGTCTTCAAAAATTTCGACATTTTCCAAGGCACCCAGCTGACGCTCGATTGGGAGACAACCATACGTGAGCACGTCACACCCGAAGAGGAGTGTATTTTACGTATTTTTAAAATGGTGGACTTCGGTTTCTTTATCTGCAAGCAAAAGAAATTCAATTATCGCTTCTGCGTAAAGAGTCGTCGCTTCACTGAGAATGCCAAGAAAAAGCGTGAGGAGAAGAAACCTTCCTCTCGTCGTCGTGAGCGACGCACAATGAAAAATGCAACACGCAAGCGTGCCGAAGGGCGCACACGCCGTTACTCGGATCGTAAGAATGGCATCGTACGCAAAAGCTACACTAGCAATGAAGAAAAGGATACTGTTGAAGAATGCAAGAAAATGCCGCGCAAAGGTTACTTGCGCAATCGCAATATTGAAAAGTCGGTGACAAGCAATAACTTCGGCGGTGCTGGTGGTGGAGGTGGTGGCGGTACATCAGCCTCCACGACCACCAATAGCGCTATGTGTGACAAAGTTTTGCTGCAGTCCAGCAGTGGCGCTGACGAAGAACGTTCGGAGGCTATGTCGAAAAAATGTGAGATGATGGGCAAGCTCTGGCTCAAGAACGAAGTTGAAACACTTGAGGAGGAGGTAAGTGTCTCAAGAGTAAAATCTACTGAATGCTATAAAAATAATATTAAATTCATGCTTTTACCATTTAATTGTAGTTAAGAAAAAATCCCTTGAATATCATCATGACGCCATTCTTAGTTGTGGACGCTAAAGCTTTGACCGAATATAATGGCATTGTCAAGAATCTGGTAAAAACTAAGAAGTTTATTGTTCTCATACCGAATGCAGGTAAAATATTATTTATTTTGTATACCATATTAGACATGTTTAAGTAAGCAATTTTCATTTAAGTTCTGAACGAATTGGACGATCTAAAGAAACGCAGTGAAAATGCACGTAATGTCATACGTTGGTTGGAGCAGGAGTTTAAGCATGGAAATAGACATTTGCGCGCACAGCGTGATAATGAGAATTTGACCCTTTCCTTGTTGAAAATACCCCGCAAACTAGGTGAGCATTTCAAATCGCTTTACCATCTAATATAAACAGACATTTTATCGCATTTTCATAAACCATTTTCATTTTCACTTACCAGATCGCGACGCTAGTGTATTCTTGCAAATTGCACAGTTTTGCAATCATCTTGTTGCCAATCATTCGGATCCCAAATCTGCCGAGTTCCAAAGCAATGTCATCACATATTTGTCAGGCGATTCACTTCATGAGAAACAACGCAATCAAACAAACTTTAGTTTTACTGGCATCTTGGACACTATACCCGTGCGTTATGAGCAGATTTCTAATTTCTATTCGAAATTCAAGGCGAACAAAAAATGAACCCATACACGCTGCAGGAGCAACGCCTGCGTGGAGCGTTTTGTGTGAACTCAAGATCATAAAAACTAATGAAGAGATGATGATTAGGGAAGATAAAGAATAAGAAGAGCTTACGAAGGATTAAGGATCTATGAAAACGAAAAACAAAATCAAATCAATTCAAACCAAACCAACAAAACAACACAGAAAAATTCCAAAACGTGAATGATGAGTGAATTTATTCAATGCAATAACAACAAGCGCGGCGGCAGCCATAGTGGCTACAACAGCGTTAGCAGTAGTAGCAGCAGTGCGGCAGCATCAGCAGCAAACAACAAAAAAAACAAAAAAACAAAAAAAATTAAAAATGCAACTGTAAGTGCGTACGAACAGTTAGAAAACCTTAAGAGAAACAATAACAACTTTATCGAGTTTATTTGAAAACCACAAACAACGACGATGGATAGGAAGGTGAAGATTATGGTAATGAGTGATGGTGGTGACATGCCGTTGGTGTTGATATGGAAGTTTAGGAATATCGTGTGCATATATGACATCAACAGCAGTAGCAACATGCAAAGAAATCACGGTAATATATGTAGAGGCCTTGGGTGTATTAAACTCGACGTTCGGAAAATATTATTTGTGATGGCGATGGTAGCGTGCCATTGATAGTAGGCGAGTAGGCGATTTTTGTGTTTATATTGGCGGTGTGTTTAACATTGCGTTTAGCAGTGGAACAATATCGTCTGCATTATAATTCTATATAAATTTCGAAAACAACATTACATTAGAACATAATTAGCAGAGTAATTAAAAAAGTCTTTAAAGAAAAATCTCACTACATTTGACAAACTTTTGAAAGCATAAAACAACAACTTTACAAAAAGAAACGCAGTCAGGATTTTCAATAATCACATTTTTTAATAAATATTTTTTTTCAAAAATCCCGTTTTTTTTCAAATTTTTTAGTTAAAATTTTGCTAAACAAATACTTTTCTCTTCAGTTATAAAGTCACAATACAAAACTCTTTAAGCACTTAATTTTTTATTGCTTTCGCTCTTGACTCTAACTTCAAACTTTGATCAGATTATCTCTTACTCGCACAATAGAAGCCGCAGTTTGCCAGTTAGACTCGCATAAATCGTGGCATCGCTGAACCATCGTTTTCTTTACTGTTATATTCTAAGAGCTCTTGCAGTGGAAAGCTCATTTGCAACACATTTGATCACAAAAACAACTTTCGATCAGCAGCTGTCATAGTTTACATTCATATTGAATTGTGAACCGCGCAAATTTGCCATCATTTGCGTGAAACAAAAACAAAACTACGTTTTTGCAATACACAAAAATGACCCAACAAGCTTCTACAATAGCTTCTTCAAAATCCAGTAAAATAATGCTGTAAAGCTTAAGGCATTTCGCTTGTTTGTATAGCCGCAGCCTTTCGCGAAGTACTAGCTCATGAATGCACAACAGTCTTCGAAATCTTCTCTAAGTGTAGGAATATATTTGTGCTCGAGCGCAATTTTTATTTCCGTTTTTTGCTTTGTTTCGAGAAATTTTGCACATCCAGGCGCATACGTGTGTAAGAAGCCAATATCGTAACGAAATGTCAAAGAAAATGTTAGACTACATTGATTAAAAATTTCAAACTGCCCACAAAATGCATATCTTCCATATGATAGTTTGTCGTTTCCGTTAAGTCTGTGATGACGTGGCATTGAAATATGTCGTGTATTTAAGATTTTCTTTTATGTTTCTCTGCGTATACGTATTACATTATTTTCATAAATTTTATTAATTCAAAATCAATTATGCTTATATGCTTATATTTGTAGTCACATATGTATGTATGTACATATGTATAGCATACGCATACTGTGCTTGGCTTGCCGTCTTCAAATTCGCTGCTCAACTAGAAGTAAACAGGCGTCGCGCAGATTTTCGTGGCATTTAGAAAATTATTGTATACAAATTAAAACTTCTATCACTAAAATCTGTCAGCTGAAATTAATTAGGTTTTTAATATGAAATTTGCATTCGACTCAATTGCATAATTCGCCATTGTTTACACATAACTTCTGGTTGTTATACAAATTTTACACATTTGGTTTTTTTTAATAGTTTATTTCAATTATAAAAATTTCTCCACAAAGTCTGCGCCATATTCCAGCAATAAAATGAACAGCAACACCAAACAGTTTATGCCTAACTATACTAATATTATATAAAATATTCTTTATGTAATTTATAACGGTATGAATTCGAAAAACAAGTACGTGTATAACGCAGGGTTCCGCTAGGGTATTGTTATGCGAGATCTGAATCTTGTCTACTCATTTGTATATTGCACTTAAATCCAGTTTCAACTCATGCTGAAATAAGCTAAAATTTTCGAAATAACAACAAATAGAAAAAAATCGATTAGTTTTCACTTAAATGATCTTTTAAATATCCCAGCAACAAATGCAATAAGTCTACTAGTTGCTGTTGCCTAAACTGTTCTGTAAATTACCCAAACAGCTAAATAAATACCCTTCTGATGTCTGCGTCCTACCTTCGAACTAGCCGTTGCAGGTACACATACTTTTTCTTAATATAACGTTTATTTTTACTACAAAAAAGAACAAAAATACATGTAATCATATCAGGAGTTTATTTCAAATCATAACTAATTATTTAATTTATGTTAATCATAGTCGTAAACAGCAACCGTTTTTAAAGAACTCCATTCTCTGCCTTCGCTCTTTTACATTAGAACAAAAAAAAAAAAAAAAAAAAAAAAAAAGAATATTGATAGAACACTTATTAAAAAGAACCCCATGAAAGCTCTGCAAGTTGGTGTAGCTGCTTTCACAAAAGCTTTAAAGCTCACCGTCAAAATTCGGCCGCTCGTAGGGCGTATCCCTCTAGTGTGCATAACTTGCACTCACACGGAGCTCTTCACTTCACCACGTTTTTGGTTTTATATATTTATTTATATTACTAAATCATTGTGTGCCATTAGGTTCTTGGTATTTGCATTAATCTTTAATAAAGGAAGGACAAAAATATAAAAAATAATGATTTAGAACTTTGTGACGTATTGAACAGCAATATAGTTGGCCAATAATTTGAATGTAACAATTCACAATACGTTTTAAATTTATCCCAGCCTTTTGAACCCTAATTTCCTATTAATAAAATATATACAAACAATATATATAAATAATTCTCCGTCAGTCCATTAATAACTTTAATAATATAAAAATAAAACTCTTGCTTGTCGGGTTTATCAAAGCTTGTATACAAATACTAACTGTAAACTCTAGAAAACTTCATTAGTTCGAATTTAATTGCCTGCGTATAAATATCTGTTTTATCTTATAAAATTTAGTTTATGAAATATTTTGATAAATATTATGTAATTTGCACGATCTATAAAATTTCAAATATTTCATTGTTGTGAATTTGTTAACTGCAATAAAAATTCCAATAAAGCTCGACAGCAAAAAAATATTTTAGTTTTATTCAGAGATATGTGGAAAAAAATGGATCAAAACCAAGTCAACAATTATTGCCTAGCCAAGTGAGTATGACGGTATTAACGGTATTAACGTTAGGCACTGGAAATAACCGGCTGGCCGATCGATCTAATGGCATATGTTCAAAAGTAAACAGCTATCTCACCGATCTTTCTCGCTTCTTCTCTGCATGAAGCCTAACTGTCTTCACCACTAAATCCACGGCGTACATATTCACGCACTGAACCACAGTCGATGGCATCAAAATTGCACCTTACACTTGACAGCTTGTGCTCTTTCACGCCGCATACGACAGGCAATCGACCTGGATGTAGTAAAACGCAGACAAAGAAACTTCAGACATGTTAGAATACTACACTTCATACGATGACAGTATGCCTTCTGATGCCACTCGAACACCTACATAGCAATACACTTCTCCACTGAGCGCCATTCACAATTTAACCATTAACACCTTCTCCGATTCCCACCCAGTGCAGGGCGTACTTGTAGCACCTTCATAGCAGACGAAGAGCTCGAGTTGTTTCGGGAATCTAGAGTAACCGTTGCGCTACTTCGTGCTGATTATTGTAGTAGGTTAAACTGCTACTTATTTAGAATTGATCACGACATACCAAATATATATCGTGCGTGCAACGAGTTCCTGCAATACTCTAACCACCTATTTGCATGGCCAATGAACCCCCCTCTCCCTATGGTTCGACTCCGTCGAAACAGCACGTTTACCGTGCCTGCCGTTTGAGGAATTCGATGACAACCAACTTGAACCAAAGCGGCGATTAGATAACCGCTATAACAACAACAACAGTATATTATGTTATATAGAAGCTGGTCGCTTGGCACTATAAATTTCCTCCAGTACAGATAAATCTGGGCCTAAACGCATTTCTGCAACGTCGAGGTCTACTGTTCCCACGACAGTCGGGTCTAGGTAATCGGAACGTACCCGGCTTTTTATCTGGCCAAGAACTGTCAACTAGACACCGTTCCTCGAAATTACTTCAGCAATGTTTTCTACCGGTACAACAACAACAACGCTGGTTTTTCCCAACAAAGTAGTAAGCTGTTTTATTAAATTCTCGATTAACATCAGCCTAAAGGTATGCTACAAATGTTATTTTGCAATCATCTTCTTCATATTAAAACAGGGTGTCCCAGTGCTCACTTAACTTGATAATTAATAATAAAAATTAAATGTCACTAATTATTTACGGTATTTTCATTAGTTTATTGCATTTTTAGCGAATGTGCATATTTCATTGTAACTCTTCATTTTTATGAAATAATTAATGAATTACAATACTTGCTTTGCCACTACATACATACATTTTCTTAAGTTTACTAAGTAATAAGCATTTGGTAAATAAGATTTCAGTAGATTTACGTATTTTATAAGTTAGAGAAAACAATTGCAAAAGTTTCCAATTCAGTACAAAATTTACTAATTCCTTGCTCAATTTATTCGATTTTGCCGCAGGTGTTTTTTTTTTTTGTTTTTTAACTTTTTTTTAGGTTTACAACATTACTATGCAATATACCCTACAACAATGTATTACGTTCGATATATGACATGCCAATTAATACAATACAAACCACGCATTTAAAGTTTCACTTTTATTATGTAAGTATTTTAATTATATTTAATGCCCAACATTTTGCCAAGTATATAATATTTGAATTTTTATGTGTGTGTGTATTTATTGAAGTGTAACGTTGGTACACACTTAAAGCAATACATCACTATTGGAAATCATATCTGCTGTATGTGTGTATGTATGCAATGTACATATTTATGTAAACTGTTAAGTATTCACTACTAAATTTTTATACTTTCGTGCATAATTATTTTTTTGCTACATATTCATTTGCATAAGTTTATGCCATCATCCTTATTTTTCTGCATTTTCACCTTCTTATTTTATATTTACGACTATTGCATTTCCCTTTCATGGTTCCCACGTGATTATCATTTCAGAAGTTGTATTTTAAGTGCTGACTCTATTGTTCTTGTATTTTCATACTTCCCTAACAAAAAAAGTATAAACACTTTGAAGATTCCCCACACTTTATCAACTCTTTATCGGTATTCCACAATGTCCACATTTCCGGTTTTATATTTCGAATACCAAATATCTTTAAGCCTGTTTCGGCCTCACTAAAAGGATAGTAATCTAGCTATTTATTTAGTTTATATTTTTATTAACAACAAAAAATAGCGGGATTTGTTTCTGAGGTATAGTTTTGGCTTGAGTGAAAGTACAAAATGTGGCTGTCAGTTACCATATAACTATGAAATAATCTTATATATTATACATATTTTTTAAAATATTGGATCAATCGAAATTTCCGCAACAACAAATGATACAAAACAATATATACAAATTAATTAATATTTTATTATATTCAATTTACCACACAATACAAATCAACTAAATAATAACTAAATTTTATAATTATTAGAAATAAAAAATAGAACTATAAGTGAACGTTTTTAAAAACATGAAGCGTATTCAAAGGTGAATTAAATAAAAATATATAACTAATGTACTCGCATCGGTTCACATTGCAGGCAGATCTATTTGAGAGTGATGTAAACAAAGCTTAACAAAACAACAACAAATTAAATGCTTAAGAAAAAAATTTGTAATATTTTACTCGAAAAAACTCGCAAATTAAATCAATGCTAAGTTTTTGCGTGTTTTTTTTTGTTTTTGGAAAGAAAATCTTTTGTAATTAAATTTTTGTTTGCTAATGAGTGGTTGCTTGCAGTCTGATATTTCTTTTTAAGATAAAAAAAAGGAAATTTATTCAAAGAAACCCAAAAGTAGTTTTAAAATCTTCAACTAAACATGTGATTAAGCGACAATTTGAAATTTTCTTTTTAAAAGTACAACTAACTTCTGTTTTTCAAATGAAATGCTAGTTTAAAAACCAAAAACACATTACGAGACAAGACGTTACGTTATTGAGATTGCGAAACAATATTTTTTATAAAGCGACGTATGAAAAAAAAACAGCATTTTGTAGAAGTATTTGGCAAGGCGTTCGATTTTTTACATTTTCAAAACTGCGTAGTTTTTTCTGCATAATATTAAATAATAATTTAGCGCTGTTTTAATGTTTTTTTGTTCTATTTTTTTTTCGAGCACCCGCAATAAAATAATATTTAGAAATATTTAGCATTTAAACGGTAACGATTGGTTTGGTTAAGAAAAAGATAAACGCAATTATTTTAACATAAATAAACTTAAATAAAAGCGATTTTTGCTGTTCTTCAACATAAAAATAATCTTACTTTAAGATTGTCAGTTAAAAATGTCTAATCGAATTCATAACAAAAGTAGATTGAGGTTCAGCTATTTCTATACGACTGAGAGGCTGTTTTATCTTCACTTGAATAAACCGTTATGCATTTTTTACCATTGTAAAGCGTACTGCTTGCGAGTGTAGGGACTAACATCTACATTTTTTAACTCGGAGCTTACACAGAAAGAATTTATTTCTTGTATTTATGCACGTATATAAAGTAATCATGCATACTAACATACATACAAAACATTTTCTTAACCATAATAAGATATTTTAAAAAATAAAAATAATATTAACAGCTTTTACGAGTTTGCTTAATAATTTACATACTTTTTTGTGATTTTAAAACTGAAAGCTTGCTGTGCTCAAGCGCTTTTCAATCGGGAAAGAAACTTCGTACTATGATCTTATCTTTCAGTATGCTTGCTTTAATTATTAATTTATTTTATTTAAAAATACATCATTAAAATGGGTAATAAATTAAATTCGGCTAATTAAAAGTCTTAAAAAGTGGCTATCAAGCTTTTCATTATGACAGCACTTTCTCTACGAAGCATGATAAATTATTATTTCATTCCATTACAATTTATACCGACTTCAGACAGACGCATATACACATATATATCTACATGACTATAACTAAATAAGCAAATTGTGGCTCATTTCCAATCCACAATTGCCATACATTTCCTTCATCTAACGTCCATACTTCAACTGTTGAACAGCTTTTAACTTAGACTATAAGCTTATTGTTATTGCAAACGGCTAATGCGCGCTGCGTTCCCCTTCCAAGTGCAATCTCTTTATATGACACCCGATACGGTCTTCTCGTAGGGTGTGCCCAGTGTGTCGCGTCGTCGCGGCAGCGTGCCACTGGCCGTCAATGGCGCCGATTCCGGGCAACCTAAGCTCGTTAGCAGCTCCACCAGTGCTGTTGTCTCTTCGACGCTGTACTGTGGTGCTGGTATGCCACCATTTGTTGTCGCCGCTGCCGTTGCGCCACTTGCTGTGGCACTGTTCGTCGCATTGCTGGTTGTTGTGGTCGTGGCTGTGGTGGATGCGGTCGACGAACAGGAACTCGTATTGCTTGCAGTGCTCGAGTTAGTGTTCGTGTTGCTGCCGTTCGCTGCATTTGCGACTGCTGCGGCGGCGGCGGCAGCCTTTAGAGATTTCGCTGTTGCCAGCGATTGTGCTGCCCGCGCATACGCCAAACAGGTGCGTCCCTCGTGATCTGTATGCTTAATGTTGGCGCCGTTCTATATACAATAAGAGAAAGAGTTGAGAAATGTTTTTTTCTCTTTTATAGCAAACAAAAACGAAAATGGGCTTACCCAAATGAGCAGCTGCGCTATGGCTAGATTTCCGATGGCACAAGCCAGCAGCAGTGGTGTCCGCACATCACGTGGACTCACGTTAGCATTGGTCACTTCACTGTTAGCGGTGGCGAGTATCAAGACAATCGATTTAATGTCCGATCTGAATTAGAGTGTAAAAGGGAGTTAACAAACAAAAGTAATGTCATTGCGATGTAATGTTACGTCGGTCGGCGATGTGTTATGTGTCACTCACCTGATCACCGCTTCTATTAATTGCTGTCCCGGCGTTGTGTTTGTATTAGCATTGAATTGTGCTAAAAATTCTTTGGATTCATATTTGCTTCGTATCCACGCTTCCTTCTCCTCACGTGTGGAATTGGGCCTTGGTTTGGTGTGTTGCCGCGTATTCGCCTCCCACACCGAATTCGCCAAACTATTGCCTATGGCCAACATTACGCTGAGATGACCAGCTCTGTAGAACAAACGTTCTCGGTTTATTACAAATGTACATAATTCTCATTAAGATTATCTCTAAAAAGTGTATACTTACGGCCAATCATCTAAGCCAAGCGAACGCACTTTGGAAATATGTGAACCCAAATTACGATGAATGCCCGAACATTCGATACACATGAGTACACCCAGATTCAAGCTAGCCCACTCCGGATCTGGAATATTGGATTTGCATTAATATTACTCATTTCCAATAAATTAAAATTCAAGCAAGTTCTTGTATATTTCACTTACTCGGCGCATCGCAGTCCACGCAAAAGCCATTGCCCGGCACTCGCGTGCGTATCGCCACCATTGAGGCCAGCTCACTTGTGGTTGCCGGTTTGGTTTTCGTGCTCTCTATGCCTTGAAGACTTTTGAAGATCTCTTGCTCAATAGCAGCCACCCATTCGTCACGATCTTCAGAACTGGCCGCTTCAAAGTGCCACTGTTTGGAATCGAGCGATACGATGAAGAACTCATAAATGTCCGAATCGTCCACTTCATTTGATTTAACGCTGCTGCTCTTCATGCGGCGATGGCGTTTCTTTACATTTGGTGTTTGAGATTCTAATTTGTTTGCCGCGTTAACAGCGAGCAATTCGCGTTGTTGTTGCTGTAGGTGTTGTTGACTATCACTGCCAGCAATAAATGTCTGCGAGTTGGAGTTGGACATGGCTATGCCCTCATCCCCACTAGTCTGTTGCGAAGAATTCGATTTCACCGGCTCGCGGAGCGTATCGAAAGCGGTGAGCAGCACCTTCTCGGTCACCTTCTTTTCCTTGTTATCCTTGACAATCGACAGACAGCCAATGCCTTCGCTCAACCCGTTTTGACCATGGCCGCGACCGTTCGAGTGCATTGAGGTTGTGAGCGCGCTGTTGGTGATGATTGATTTCGAACCGCGCGGTTTTTGTCCCGGTACTTTTACAGTTACGTATTGCAGCGGTATTTCCTTGCCATGCACATCGTCCATGTAATCGTGTAGCGATGGATGATATGTCAGCCGCCCGTCATTACAGAGCGTCACATATTTCTTCTTCCATTCCTTGTTCAACGATTTGCTGGAGCGTTTGTAGAGGTAACCTTGTTTGATTGGTATGGACCGTCCGCTACCCAATTCGCCATTTTTCAAATCCTTCTCGCCCTTCTTCGAGGAGGAGGGAATGAAGAGATTTGAACGCCGTCGACTTTTGCGACTTGTAGTGGGCGTGGATGTGGGTGTCGGCAGATCCTTACCACCGCCGCTGCCGCCGCCACCACCACTGCCATTATCCCTATTCTCGCGCAGCGGCACCAAACTCAAAGGTGGCAAACTTTCCGCTGTTTGGTGGTTCGATTGCTGCTGTTGTTGTTGTTGTTGCTGCTGCTGTTGGTGATGTGTGGGTGTGAATTTGGTGATGTTATTGTTTTCATTTGTGAGCATCGTTAGTTCACGATCACGTTGTTGCTGTTCTTTTTGCTGTTGCCACGCCTTCTGACTGGGTGGTAAGCTCTGCTGCTGTTCGGTGTGCATGAAATCAGCGCTCATGCGCATCGGTATATGATGTGACGATGTGGACAGCGCGTGATGGCGGTGAGGCAGCGTTAAATTACTGGTGGATACGGCGCCCTGCACCGACGAAGTGGATGCAGAGAAGCCATTTGCATTGGCGCCGCCATGATTGTTGGAGTTGTGGTGATAGGAGGCGATGCCGAGGCGTGTGCCTTGCGGCGTTGTGGGTCGGGAGTTGACGGTGGGGGGTAGGGGAATGCGCTGCTGGAGGATCTTCTGACAAGCTATGGAGGAAGGCGAAATTTATTAGAAATTATGTAGGGTTTTATGCATCAGCGGTTAGCGTGAGAGAAAAAGCTTAAATATTTGAAGCAAACTTGGTGAAAGGCAAGAGTACCTGAAATTATTCAAGAAATTCGTAAGGAAACTTACCGTCCTGGAACACGCGTTCTACATTGAGACCGTATGTGGCACACGTTTCGTAGTACGAACAGCGCTTCAAGTCGTTTGCCAGTTTTCTCGCGCGAGAGTCATCGATCACACGTGGATTTCGCTCACTAATTGCATCTAAAGAGAATAAGAAAAGCAATTGAAATCAAAATTAAAAAATTAAACGCTACAAATTCAATTTAACAAAATGCGGCGACAGAGTCAAGTATGTGTGAGTGCACTTGTGCGCACAAAGCCGATCAAAACACTTACCCTGTGTGCCAACTAAAATCATTGGTAAATCCTGACCATTGCGAAAATGCGCCATTTTATTAAAGTAATTGTAAATTGTATTGAAACTGCTCTCGTTCTCAAGACTAAAGACGAAAATCACAGCGTCAACCCAAGCGGCAAACTGCAAGAATATAAAAAAAGGGTTGAATTTAGTAATTTGGGCAATGAGCAGTTAAAAGAAGTTGCATTACAAAGGTGAACTAAATAATAAATTAACGTATGAATGTGTATAATATATATGAATCAGTATGTGAAGCATGAAAACGTCTGCAAATATCGTATAAGGCAATAAATAAATTCTAAAGCACCGAGACATATTTAAGTCTAAAACACATCAAACTACAGGGGAAAAGCATAATCTGTAGCATACACTTAGTGCCAGAATATAAAATACTAAAGAATTCGCTGCCAAATCACAACAACTGCTTGCATATGTAAGCCCTTGACTTTGCTATGCCTAAGTAAAGGTTAAGTAACCAAGGTACCAGCCAGCTACAACAAAGCAAACAAAAAACTCACTTCCATACAAAATGTAAGTGCAAACAATACAAATAAATAATATTTATGTACGGACATATGTGTGTGCAAGAGCGTAGAAGTGTTGACGGCTGCACTGCGGTGCTTGAAAAAACAAAAGCTTTGAGTGGAGTAGGCGGAACGGCTACGGGAGGCGCATAAGAGCGCTAGCAGTTGAGGCTGGAAAACAAGAAAGGCATATTTCTTTCGTATGCGACTGGACGGCGCAGAGAAATTTGTAGAAGCTTTAATTGTACTTGTATGTGATTGCAGGCACTCACACATGCTTGGAGGATAGCGAACAAAGCTCATAAAGCACTTGGCGCACTTTACATGCATGTTAAATGAAGTGGGGACCAACAAAGCGTAGCATAGTTTTGGGGGCAAGTAGCAACTGCACTTGCCTATGTAAGAAACAGTATCTACAGCATTATTTCTAATGCGGGAAATTAAGAACAAAACGCTTTTTAACTTAATATTTTTTGAAGAAATCTTTTAAGTTGTGTTGAAAACCAACGATAACTCTACTTTTTGAATTTGTTTTCACTCGAAAATAAATGTAGCAAGGCGTCATGTAGTTTAAAGGCTGACAACAAACAAGCTTGGACAAGGTATAATGAACTTTCGAAAGTTCTCTAAAATATCGTACTTGCCGCTACAAATGCCTATATGTACATATGTAAAGTGAAGTCTATACATATACATATACATACATATATACTCATTTTTAGTAAAGAAAAATGCATGCTTGGAGTTATGTGTGTATGAGCACATGTGTGTGTTTGTCTGCATATTTGCATTTGTCTGACTATGTTACGCTGCATGCAGAGCATTGAAGTGGCAAATAACTGGCTGCAACAGCTTTGTTGCACGCCAAGCAGAGGCCGAGTACAAATATGTGTCTATTGCGACTACTGTTGTCGGAGATGAAGGCTACAGTGTTATGCTGATGCAATTGTCGATATGTATGTGCCAGTACATATAATAATTGCTGTTGCAGAAGCTGTTTGTAGCTTGTTGGTTGATTGCTGCTGCACAGTGCGCAGGATTATAAAACATTGTCAGCCCCAAAGTGCAACTCTCCGCCAAGGTGTGCGTAAAGGTGGCAATCAGCCTGCAACCTGTGTACTACCGAATGTTGAGAGGGTGTTTTTGTGTTTTTGGAGAGTTTCATGCCACAAACGGAGTAATACACACTTGCGCTCTGAGCGCGCTACTTCACCAAATTACCCATATATACAAAATATATGCATAGCTGTGTGTATATGTGAGCTGCTGTGGGTTGGAGAGTGCCTTTGGTCAACAGACACAGTGGCTGATTTTCAACAAATTCACTTTAATCGGCTTAAATAATAAGACTTGCTTACCCGTTTTTTGCAGTTGAAGTGATGAAATTGTCAACAAATTGATTTATTACACTTTGTTAGCGTTTAAACCATTTGGCGCCTTAAAGTATGCCTTTCACGAGGCAGCGATTACAATACACAATATAACAAAAGAAACTTCTATCACGATTTCTAGGCTAAGCTCGTTTTCGCATCCGTCTTTCTTGCCAGCTAACACAACACTAACTCGCCAAGCAGCCAGTGAACCAGGAAGGCAGGCAAACAGTCAGCCGGCAACAGCTACATATACTCCAGGACTCATATTTGAAGCACACCAACACATACACACCTACATATACAGTGTAAAAGCTTTAGCTTCAGCTTCAGTCTCAGTTGCTGTTGATGTTACTATCACTGTTGTTTTTATTGTTATTGTGTGCATTTGTAGGCAAATAAAATAGGAAAAATCGCTGGCACTGCAAAGTATCGACTACCGCGGAGGAAGCTAGAGGGTGTGCGCTGTGCCGTAGTTGTCGGAGAAAATCCATTTTTTGTATGTGCCAAAACACCAGACGTCGGCGACGGCAACAAATATGAATGGTTATGTTGGCGACGGCGGCAAAACGCAAAAGTACTGTAAAGAGGGCAAACGGAGAGGGGGTGTTGTTATTGGTGGTGGTGGTGACACATACACGTATGTACATTGCGTTGGGGTGGTGGTGCTGTTGATTATGGGCCGCTGTGGATGGTAATGATGTCCTCGAGCGACGCGCTGGCGACACAGCAAATGACTGATGACTATATATTCTCGCGTGTACACACATACACGTGTATATGCATGCCTGTGTGTAGTTTTGCTTCGGTATATGTCTTGCATAAATTGTTGGCACGTAATATTTAATTGTATTGCTTTTATTTTCGCTGTTCAAATGGTTACAACGCCGAAGCGGAAGCGTGCACGACACAAACTCTGTCAGCGGAAGGCACACAACGTGCGGATTCACTGCGAGTGGGTGGGGTAGGTGGTGGCAGTGTTTGTGTTCATGCAACAACAGCATATGAAATTGTAATAGGAAAAGTGAATTTGTTGAGCTGCTTAGAGCACAGTGTTTCAAAGCGTAACTTTTTCTGCCATCGGCGACTGATAAACTGCTGCACACCAGTGTAAGCGCACGATGTTGTGATTTCTGAACTCTCTCAATTAAATTTCGACCCATGCAATGGGTGAAATATTGAAAATGTATTCAAAAATGTTTCTCTTAATTTGCCAATACACGGTGAAAATTCAGTAAAAGTTTCATAGAATCCGTTATATAGAGTATAATAAATATGTATACATTATTTTCTGCCTTAAGTCGAAGGTTCTATTTAACGTAATTAGAATGATCCAATTTAGATAAAATGGGCACAGATTCGTTCGATAACTTGTTGCCATTTCGATGGTAATTTCATTCACTTTCATAAAAAGCCTCGTCTCTCTTGGTAAAAGTCGGGGACAGTCGATTTTCACAAGCTTCTTTTGTGGCAAATTTTTCAACAGCAAAATCATTCACCATAAGCAGGGTAGGCAGTAATCACTTGGTTCAAGGTCTGGACTATAAGGTGTATGCATAAACCCCTCCCAACTAAGCTCCCGGAGCTACTGGCGAGCCACTATCGATGTGTGTGACTAGGCATTGTCCTGATGGAACACAATTCCTTTCCTATTGGCCAAAGGTGTCCACTTCACAGCGATTTCTTTTTTGAAACGGTTTTTGACAGTACAGATCCGAAATAAGACTTAGACCATAGGGGAGCGACTCATAGTAGATGATCCCCTGCCAATCTCGCCAAACACATAGCAAAACTTTCTTGATCGTATAACTTGGCCTGGCCACAGTTTACGCCGGCTCACCGCGAATCGACCAAGACCCTTTTGAGTTGACGTTGTATTAAGAGACCTACTTTTCATCACCATCCGCTTCAGAAATGGATCAGTTGCGATTCAGCAGCGGCTCGCAGTTGAAAATTCGATTCATGAGGTTTTTTGGACTATTTGTATGTTGAGATTTTTTTTTACATCGACGTTTTGGAAAAATGGCGATTTAAATTTTTACTAGACCTTATATTTAAGCTATTCTTGTTCAAACTATTTATAATGAAGCAAAAATAACCGAATTTAAACGAAATGCAGCTTACCAAGCCTTACGTGCTTATCAAGGATCTAAGCGCACGTGTTCTGTTGCGCATAAAAAAGAATAAAAATAGTGCAGCGATAGGCAAATTATGTGTACTAATTAGCTTCTTAAGTGAACGGGCAAATAACTAATCAGAAACCTGGCTTCTTGATTATGCAAGAGGACAGACTTAAAAGTGCACTTAAAAAATTGCAGGAAACCTGGTACTTTTCACGGATGTGCCATATATGCACTAAGGATTCACAAATAAAACAAATTGGTTGGCAACACTACTAAAAAAAATAAATTGATTATTCCATAGCTTGTTTCATCCTTTGTGGCAATACCAGCTCAAAAAAGTCGCTTTTACACTGTATACTCATCCATCCGAAGACGAGGAAGAAGAAGATGTCTCTATATTCTAAACATAGTTGTTGGTTGCTTTGCCGCAGATTTCATGCATGAGATTTGATGGAGTGTCCGTTTGAAAGGCGCAATGCGGAAAATGTCAAATGGCTACCACTGCCAGTCTTTCACTTGCCAGCGACAACCTTGAATGCAGCCTTGAATGGCGCTTGAAGAGTCTTTTTAAGTGAGTAAGACTGCATTGGCGTCGGAATCACTACGAAAGAGCATGTTGTACCATTTCATAGACATAGTTAGTAGCTGAAGACTTGTGTTGCACGCTGCTGCTGCAGTTCTTTGCTTGCCACTGCCACCGTTTCCACCGCGGCTGCTGTTGTTGTTGATAAAAGACATTCTTTTCCAATTTGTCGGTTGTTGTTTCGAGCGCAAGAGCCGAAGCGCGCGTGCCGAGCTGCAGGCGCTTATAACTGTTTCGCAATGCCGATGCTAGGACTTTCACAAATCACGACAAGGCTGCAGTTTTTCTTACTAACGCGTGCGTTATAAATAGTAGACGCGAAGCGTTAGTGACATTTGCTAGAGTGTCACAACACAAAAAGCAAAAATAACAATAAAACGGCAGCCAAGTAGTGCAACTGACGTGAAGGCTGGCAGCTTTGCTTTAGCCGCTGGCTTCGGGGTGGGTGTGTGCATGCTGTGGGTTCTTTATGTTTCTATTTGTATGCGTTCTTTCGTGCGCCGTGAAGACGTGTGTCAGC